TTCTAACAGAAACATATTTAGTCCAGCTCAAAATAAATAATTTATATTACTTATATATCAAATTAAAAATATTCCTCTCGATTTATAATTAATTCCAATAATCAAACATTCTACTGCATACATAATACATCCTACAATGTGGTGCCGAGACACGATTCGATCGACTTGGAATCTATAATAGAAATTCTAACCGGTTCAAGAAAGAAAGCAAGCGGATAGTTCCAACAAGCGTTCCCAAAACGATCGCGAATGTCCTATCCCATAAATCATCTCGGCGAAACAGTTTTTCCTCGAGCGCATGCGCACAAAAGGAGAAGAAGAAGAAGAAGAAGAAAAAAGAATTAACGAGTTGCGCTTCAGGAGTGCGATAAATAACGCGGTTTTATCGAGCATCCCCCTTATGCCTGTACTCGGCAAATCCTGTCCTCCGGATAAATGATCGTACGTCATTGCTCGAGCTTCGGTGGCCGCCGTATGCGCCATTTATCCCCTCCTCTCCCTTGCGACCCCTTTGTCCGCGCTCACTAAATATCTGTGGGACACGTGTATGGAAGCCGTGGATGGAAGCGTGTCGGCCGATGTTCCTTGTTGAACGACACGCGGTCTGAGATAGCCGGCGATTTGTCACTCGATGAATCTTCCTCGTCCCGCTTTCATTCGTTCCACGAGCTTTCTTTTCCTTTTTACAGAGAAGGGAGACGAGAATTTGGGGAAAAAGGGATTTTTCCAAGATTTTCCATTGTTTCTCCGGAAGAGTTTTAAAAAAGAGTTGCACACGGGGCAAAAAGAAGAATTTTCATTTTCGAATGAATCGAAGGGAATGGGATAGTTTAATAATTCCATTTGGATGCAGGATATTTATATCTTACATGATTATTCGTTGAAGATGCAACAAGGAACGTGGACAATTTATTTTATTCGAAAAGAACCTCTCAAGGTATTTATGTAATTATCACGGCAATTTATATTTTCAATACTTGAATTAAAATTATACCATCTGTCGTTTGTATTTTTAAATAAAATTTCGCTCAAAATTCGATATAATAAAAAAAGAAACTGACTGATTTACTAAAGGGATCGAATTCCTCTCATCACGAGGCCCGTAAACAATGTTTCAGAAAGATCTGGTGGATACGTTACAGCAACCGTGCGACCACGAACAACCGCTCGAAATCGCGGAACGATCGATTGCATAATGATCCAATCCGAGGCAAGTGGATCTGTGCCGAGGTGTGAGATTATACGTGTGTACACGTAGCTGTGTGTATATCTGCACCGTGAGGATCGACATTAATTCAAAGAGATCCCAGCTGCGTATTCATCGACCGTATTCACGATTAATTCTATAAACATCGCTCGTTTGAATTCTGCAAATCGGATAAATCTGATCGTTGATCAATTTTTTGAGAACCGTGAAAATAAAGTAGAATCTGTATAAACTTTTAGATAACAAAATTATTTTTTATTCATTACAGATAAAAAACAAGAAAAGGGAAGAAACTGTTATCGAGTAGAACAGGTTTTTAAATTACGATTCTTTTTTCGTAAATAATTCTTTATTCTTAAGACAAGAAAAATTGAAGAAATTATGGTGCCCTAATGTTACAATAACAGAAGTAAGTACTCTGGAAATCTCAACTTGAATTTTAGAATTGATTTTTTTAGATTGACCAAAGTTGAATTCTAATTGGAGAAATTTGTTCTCGAAACGTTGATGTGAATAATAAAAAAATTAAATAAATAAGTGTAAAACTGACACCAAGTTTTTCAATAAATCCTTCATAACGATAATCAAACATGATTTCCGATTAGTAAAGTATCGTTTCGATATTTCGATAAAATACTCGGTGTCTGAAAATAATATATTAACACATTATGTGCAACCATTCAGCCTCTTGCCTTTTCGCGATGGATCATTGTTGTTTCAATCCAACCATGTCTTTCGATCATTTCATTTTTATCGTATCGAATTCACGAATGACAGCATTAGAAAATGGTAATAGATAGATAAATCACGATAAGCCCTAGTTTGCCTGTTGCATTACACTTAATAGGTAGACAAATACCGATTACACGTTGGCAGCGATAGATCGAGAGATAAAGTGTCAATCAATGAATGAAACCTTAAGCTAAGGAAAGAATATCTTTGATATATATACTGGATTTAAGATCTTGAAGAATCTAACAAGACAGAGTGATGATAAAGGTTTCAATTGATTAAATGCTGTTAAATTTATCGCTTTGAAAACCAGGAAGGCAAAAAATTGAAAATTTTCTGTTTGTATGCAGCGAAGAATGATTTGAAACAGTATGAATTTTATTATTGATATTATTAGCATCATGTTGAAGAATGAATTTAGAGATTTTTTTTATTTCAATAATTTTTATAATTGAGAATCGAAACTTCTAAGAAATTTTACGAAAGTCGTTGGAAATAATAGCATTAGCCGAGTAATTGGAAAATTAAACTTGAATAATCTAATACTAGTTAAGTAAATTCATTATTCATGTTTGAATAATTTCTGATTTAGATCTAAGAAATCTTGATAATTTTAAAATTCTGCTTGTTAACAGTTCAGAGGAATAAATAGAGACAAGTTTGAGAAACAAATCAGCTTGGAACTTTACTATAACTCTATTACTTTGATCAATATCTATTAGTCACCTTAATCAATCTTCGATATTTCTAATTTCCATATATAAGCAGTTATATTTACAGATAGGAGACGATTATCTCGCGCGAAAATTAATGCGTCAATAAAAAAAAAAATGTCAAAATTATGAATATATAAGTTTCTTTAATTAAAATTATTCTATCTAATATTTTCTTTGCCCTATCAATTAATGTTTACGTTTCTACATTCCAAGTTAATAAATAAATTAAAAAAAGAAAACGCATGGAAACTTGCACTCTATATTACCGTGGTATACCATTTAAACAAATGATCTGGCAATCGCAGACCTCACGTTAATCGATAATCCTACGGACGTGCCACTAGCTCGACCCGGTCATCAATTAGTATTCCAACGATTCGCAAGAGAACGGGACCCTGGCGGCTGTTGGAAAGGCTAGATATTATACTCTCGCGATCTCGTGGCCAAGCCATTTCTGATCCAATCGAATTAGTGGTTGAAGATACAGATAAGATACATTAAACATCGAACAACTATCTTTCCATTATGAAAATGTGCCCCAATACCTGTATACATAATCAACTATTAGACGAATAATTCTCTTGGTCGACGTATACGTATATTTTAACTCCCTTTCCTCCTTTCCTTTCTATTTTCCACGTTCAACAAGACCAAACCAAAGAGAAACAAACTTTTAGAATCTATATTAGTTTCCATTCAAGTTAGATTAGATTAGCCGAAGTACTCGCTGTGGATAGATCGCACAGATACGGATATTGTACGTTATTACCGTTGAAATTCATCCCGCGCCCGTATTCGATCCTAATTTTCTAATATTTATCCGTAACTGCCCCATCGAGTGACATCGAGGGTTAATACCTGTCGAAGGATCCGCCATTACGTCACGTGACGGAAAAATAATGGCGACGATGCGCAAAAATGCTGCGCAAACGAACGTATTGAGCAATAGATCGCCTCGATCCGAATCGCGCGCCCTCTCGCGTGATTCGTGGGTGTATATACACGGTTTGCCGACAAGCAACAGGTATTAACATTATATACGTCTGTATGTACGTTATATAGGAGCACGAGCACGCTCGTGAAACCAGTATTTACTAGCGGCTTGGCCGAGAGACGTGGCTGAATACTCTTGGCTGTATGCAGGTCGAACGCTGGTAAATCTAGCACGGTATCGCGTGAAGCAACTGGCAAGTACACGAGCACCTAGATACACGTATAAATATCGGTACTATCGGATAGGAGAGGCAGCCAGCGCGCAGCTGCACCGGTAGTTTGCAACAGATACTCCGGAGGAGCTACTGAATAAGCTTGCGGTAGGCCACCTCGAAGACGAACAAGCGTACGCCTACCGGTTGGGAAGGCATTTTGATGCGTGCTGTTTGATCCAACGCGAGAACGGTGTACCGTTGTTACACAATCGCGACCGATTCCCGCGATAGATTGTTAGGTTAGGTTCCATAGGATGCTAGCTATGGGTGATACACGTACGAGATACGAGGCTTTTAATAGGCTGTTGCGTCGTTCGCAAACTATGGCAAAACTAATGAAATTATGGATTTGAGGGAATTCAAGGATCTATCTAAGATGTTGGTTGAGAACGTTTTCGATATATTGGACTTTGAGAAGGAAAATTTCGACGCGGTTTTATTATTTCTATTAATAATTGCGGTGTCTGCGAAATCATGAGAGATTTCTTAACGATAATTCAAGAATGATTATTTCAATGATCTTGTTGCAAGAACTTGTGATGGATTCGTGCGTAGGCTGCACTGTGAATGAATTTTCATTGACGCAATAATAATACATTTTAGAAAAAAATTACGATTTCACAATTGCGACCGATTTTCGCGAGAGAAATTGTTAGGTTAGATTTTTTACAGAGTACACCATGGACATTTACGATGGAGCGTTCATGATATACGTACGAGATATGGAATCTTTAATAAGATGTTGCCGCAATAGTGATAAAACTAAAAAATTATTGTTTTGAACGGTGTTGCGGTTGTTGCACAATTCCGACCAATTCCCGCGATAAGTTGTTAGGTTAACCTATGGTTTTCATGATGTTGCGCGAGATATAAGATTTTTTTAATAGGTTATCGTAATAAACGTCAGTTTGACATAAATAATATTAATTAAAGGTCTGAGAATCAGGAAATGAAAACTGTTTAGAACAAGTCAATTTTCTTAAAATATCCTCACGATTCTCCAAAGAGTTTCGTAATATGTTCAAAATCTTTTTTTCTTTTTGAAATTTCGTACTATTATCGCCCTTTTAAAATTTAATCAATCATTCTACTTATTTTCAACAAATTGCAAATTTAAACGAAGGTAAAGTTACATACCCGAGTGGCAGGAAAACAAGTCAGCTCCGATACAGCTCGTCTGAAACAAAAAAAAAAAGATTTTTACGTTAGTAAAAATTAGTAAAAATATTACAAATATTCAACGCCTATCAAAATTATTTACCCCATTTATTCGTCACGATTCGTTCGCAAAAAAAAAAAAATTTCAACGTTGAACTTTCGCGATAATTTCGTACGAATTTCGCATACGTTACTCCGCTCCTTCGATCCTTTTTTGAAAAATCGAGTTACGTTAGTCGAGTTAAGCCGAAAGTGAGTCGAACGTGAGCGATACATAATAATTCGTTTGGCTCAAACAAATCTCTTCCTCGTTTCGCAATCGAAACACGTATACAACACAACAATTGCCTTCTTTTTCTTTTTTTTTTTTTGCACGATGATTCAATTAGCGCAAGCTGTCGATATGCTTCCGCGATCCCGATTTACCGCAAATTCGCGTCTCAAGGTGGAGAATAATCGAACGAAAAAAAAATAAAAAAACGATAATCTAGGAACTGAAAGTAATGATCTAATCGTGGCTCGATCCTCGATACTACATATTTTCTCGTATTTATTAGAGGAAATGTACCCACTAGAACGGAACGAAACGTGGCTGGTAAAATTCCTTTTTTTTTTTTAATCGTATTATCTCTCTCTTTATCTTTATTAAAATTTATCAAGATTCTTTCTTTCTGTATTATATGAAATGATTTTTTTTTTTTTGTTAATGCTACCTTCTAATTTTTTTTAAATTTTCATCTTTTGGTTAAGAATGCTGGAATTAAGACCATAGCAGATGTAATTCTTTTATATCCTTTAAATAAACTGTTAATAATTTCTTTTCGAAGAAAATTATTTCCATCCACGTATCTTCTCAAAAATTAAAATAAATTAACTGAATATTACAGATATCAGAATCCAATAAAAATTATCTTTAAAAATATCGAAAATAAAAGAAAAATAAATTAAATTTTAATAATCATTTTAATCACAACCTCATGGAATCTTTCTTACGAAAGATCGATCAACGTTCAATTAATCGATCAACTACTCTCCTAAGCTAAAAAGAGTGAGAGAAAAAACCGACAAAAGAACAAAAAGAAAAAAAAAAGAAGAAGCATCATCTTAATATATTTCCAAATTGCTACCAGAATTATGGCGAATATCCGGTGTCCGGCAATTAATTAACCGAGGCAGTTTTGAGAATGCTGTCGAACGAGAAAGCTAATTGGATACAGCCAACCCTACCGAGTAACAACCGTGCTTTTTGCCTGCATGTTTGCCAGATACGAGACACGTAAATACGTGTTCGATTCGATTTTAACCGATCTCGCGGCACGGTGATACAAACGAATAAAGACTGTCTCCCTGTGTTAGCTGTAAATGAATCGCACAGAAGTAGTAACATCGAGTAACATATTAATTTTACCACTTCTATTACGATCTAATTGAGTTAGGAAAACGGGGGGGGGTATCGCATTAAAATCGAAATTCTACGACTATCTTTTTCAGCTTTACAAAAGAAAATTATCATCTACAATTAATATTGCATTTCAACTATTTCGAGAATCAAATATTTCCTTCGTTCTAACAACTTCGATTCTAATTCATTTTCTACGTAATTACTTTTCAATGCATCTATCAGCGTGCTCGAGCTTCACACCATACAAATTCAAGATCAATCTCAAGGATAGTTGAAAAGTAGAAAACTTGATATTTCGAATTGATAAAAGTTTCTTTCCCGAATTAATTCGATGAATCTGTTCGATATCAAATCGATATTCGAACAACTTAGCCATTAATAAGATTCACTTTTTTCCACCACGATAAAACTGCGATAAATCGTTATTCCAATCGTTACAGCGATAAAATTCGATATATTCCTGGAATAAAATTCGCAAAATGCAACCCGGCAAAAAGCATAAATTCCAAATACCGGTATCCCGGTGCACATAAATGCAACCAGTTTTCCTTCATCGATAATGCAACATTTCTTTCAGCATCAGAATTTCTATCGCATACTTCTAAAACGCCACGCTTTCACATTCTCATGCCTTCCGACTTCCCATCGGCCAACCGTGTCCGCCATTTTTTTTTTTGCCGACAAATTTTCTTTTTTTTCCACGCGATGAGTCGGTGACAAATTCGCTCGAAGGGATAACTGTCGAATCAGCCGGTGAGATCGGCCTTATCGATCCCTCCAAAGCGAATTTATCCGTCTATTAAAACGCACGAAACGTTTCCGCTATCTATTTGGCCCGATGTTTCTTTCGTATGTTCCGTGTTATTTATTGCGAGTCGAGCATTCAAAGGGTTTCGCGTTATCTGTCTCGACTCGAGACGTTTAAAGCGTTTCGCGTTATCTGTTACAAGCTGGACAACCTTAAGAAGTTTCGTTGAGAAAACACGCGAGCCTAAACCTGTGGCAATATCCGCTGTGTAATATTAAAAAAAGAAAAAAAGGGAGAAAAGAAAGAAAGAAAGAAAGAAAGAAAAAGGGGGGGGGGAAAAAAGAAGGAAAAGGAAAGAAAAAAAGAAAAATGTCTTTCGAGTTAGTCTTTGGAAAGTTACAAAAGTTTCCGTGAAATATGAAACGAATATGATTTATTAGCTAGTTTCCTAGGATTTTAAGAGTTTTTTTTATCGATTTTTATCTTTCGTTCTAATAGAGGTGTTTGGCCTTCCACGTTTCTCTCCATTAAACATTTTTACACCTCGATTTGTTTCTTCCATTTCTTGTTAGATTACGGTGAACTTTTGGTCAAATGGCAAAGTTTAGTATGTCACTATTGTCGTCAAATTTGAAATTATTATACTCTTTTCGAAATGTGTTTCTAAAGGAATGGATCGTATTATTTTGTAAAAATATTGGGACTTTTTTTTTTTTTT